GCAATGAGATCCTGACCAAGGAGGTGAACCATGGTCGCTCTGAGTATTTGGCCGGGATTCAAGCCTTCAAGCTATCTCGCGAAAATCTTCACAAGATTCTGTGTCAAACTGACCCGAAAGAGACGACTCTGACGTCCAAGCTTCGCGAGCGCAACCGAGACTTTGTTCGTCGAGTCAAGCGTCTCGAGAAAGCCAACTCGGCTCTAAGTTTGCGATTTCGACTGAAGGATATGGATTCTGAAGCCTTAGTCCTTATGGTTGAAGGTGAGTTCTTGTCTTCCGTGTGTTCATCTATATCTTGACTGACTTGTCGTTCATTGTTTCTTGACCATAGGCTTGGAACTCGACAAAATTGACTGGGAGACTTTGGCTCCTGACTCTCAAACTCGCCGTGCTCTGAAGGCCGTTTACAAGATTGGGTTGGAGGATGGCCGCGATCATGACACGCTCGCCGACGACATCGTCAATCCTGGCTTGACTCGCTCCATATACAACCAAACCCGTGCCCCTGGCTGGAAGAGGGGCTTCGGTCCCTCTCCTGGGGAATTGTCCTCTAAATCGTCGGTTGGGTCATTGTTCGGTAGGCTTCTTTTCTCTCTGCTGTTTAGTGATGCATTGTGTTTGAGCGCTCGCCGAGCCTTGTCGATCTCCTGGTACTCCTTAGCCATTCTGAAAGCTATTTCATGCTGTCAGTTCACTTCTCGTCGCCATTTAAGGGCATCGGACTGGCGTCCGTTTCCTTGTTTAAACGGCGATGTCATTGCTCCCAAAGTCGAATGTGCATCCCATCCGTGGACTAGGTAGAAAGGTGTCTCCTTCCGCGTAGCATCGGTGGAGTTGTTAATCGCAAATATCAACTTCTCTGCGATCTCATCCCAATCTTGTTGCAAGGGATCTTCGGTATATACGCGGACCGACTGCATGACGTTTTTCACTGACCGCTCTTGTTGCCCGTTAGCTTGTGGTCGGTAACTGAGTGTAGCTCTTGACCTCGACCGCATCACCCCCGCGAACGCTGGAAACACTTCGCTCATGAAACGGGGGTCTCGATCATGCCTGATCAACGGCGGTGCACCGAACCTTCGGTTGACACACTCTTCAAACGCTTGTCCAACCCGGAGTGCTGTCGTGTCCGCCATCGCTTTCCCCATGACGAAACCAGTGCAAGCGCATTGGAAGAGCAACAGGGCGGTGCTCCCGCGTCGAGACTTCGGTAACGGTATGACGAATCCATGGAGACAATTTGGAATGGTCTCTCTGCTAACACATTGCTCGGCGAGTACCCTTGATGTTGTGGGCGACTCTTGCTGGAACTACAATCGGGGCAGGACCGTACATGTCGCTCTACGTCGGCATACAGTCCTATCCAGTACTAATATACCGGGACATGGACGACGACGCCGAACCCCCTCGCTCGGATGTCGACCTAAGCAAGCTGCTCCCAACCGACGCTAAGCTCTCGGACGTGCGCCTCGACATGCTCGAGCTCTAGCGAATGGACTCCGACAGGTGTACCCTTACTGAGGCGGAGAACGTCATTCTAGGGGAGACCATCGTGGTCCACGCGAGCCTTCGACGTGACGTCATTTGTGAAATTATTCGGCGCCTTCTATGCCTTCGGAGTCTGGATGACGTCGACTGGCTTAGACACGTCCCGGAGGAATATTTCGAGAGGGCCTACAAGCGCGCTGAGGACTGCGACTGGGTGATCGGTGTGGAGCACCCCTGGCCACCCGTCCCTACAGAGCCTCGTGAGTCTTCGGAGTCGTCGGAGGATGACGACGATGCTTCCGACGCGGAAGGAGGAAGTCAGCCAGCGCCGAAGGCTGGGAGCTCGAAGAAGCGGGGTAAGTTCGTACCTACGTGACTCCTCGGTCGGTAGATGTCGGTAGAGGAGTCGGTTGGGGATTGTCGCACAAGGATCTGTTAATACTTGGTTTTAGTATAGGATTAGGAATCTTCGGTAGACAGTCGGTAGGGAGGCTCTCAGAGCCTTAC